AATGCTCCTTGGAAGCCAGGATGGCCAGACTTTGTCTCTCCTTCTTCAGACATATTGTAAGGAGGAAAGAGTCCATGGAGAAGGATATCATGTTTGGTAAAGTGGACGATCAGAGAAAGAGAGGAAGGCTCCAATGAGATGGAATGGCACAGTGGCTCAAATGAGGCTGGCTCAGAACCAGGCAGTTTTTTGCTCTATTGTGCATAGGGTCATGATGAATCGGTATTGATGTGATGGCACCTAGCAATAACAATATTGACTATGCAAAGGCTTTCAATTGTGTAGATCATGACAAACTATGGATAACTTTATGGAGAATGGGTATTCCAGAACACTTAATTGTGGTCATGAGGGACCTGTACATAGATGAAGAGACAGTTGTTAGAACAGAGTAAGGGGATGCTGAATGGCTTAAAATTAGGAAAGGTGTGTTCCAGAGTTGTATCCTTTCATCATTCCTATTCAATCTGTACACTGAGCAAATAATCTGAGAAGTTGGATTATATGAAGGAGAACGTGGCATTAGAATTGGAGAAAAACTCAACAACCTGCTGTGTGCAGATGACACAACCTTACTAAAAGTGAAGGACTTATACTACTTACTAGTGGTAATCAAAAACTACAGCCCTTGGTATGGATTGCACCTCAATGTAAAGAAAACCAAAATTCTCAAAATTGAATCAATAAATAACATCATGATAAACGACAAAAATATTGAAGTTGTCAAAGACTTAATACTGATTGGATCCACAATCAATACTCATCGAATAAGCAGTCATTAAATGAAAAGTTACTTAAAAACCCTCTTTAAATTGGTTAAGAGCAAAGATATCAGTTTGAGGACTAAGATGCACCTGACCCAAGCCATCGTAGTATTTTCAATCACTTCATATGCCTAAGTATTTTAAGTCTACTTCACATTAAGCAAGCAAGGTTGTGTCATCTGCATATGGCAGGTTGCTAATGATTCTTCCTTCATTTCTAATGCTATGTTCTTTTTTATATAATCCAGATTCTCAGATTATTTACTCAGCATACAGATTGGATAAGTATAGTGAAATAATACAGTTCTGGTGCATATCATTCTAAAACTTTCAGCTCTTTTCTAACAATTGTCTTTTGATGTATGTATAGGTTCTCATGAAGGAGCTCTGGTAGCGTAGTGGTTACGAATCGGGCTGCTAACCTCAGGATCAGCAGTTTGAAACTACCAGCTGTTCCACGGGAGAAAGATGAGGCATTCTGCTCCCATAAAGATTTACAGCCCCAGAAACCCTGTAAGTGTTGCTATGAGTCGGACCGACTCCATGGCACATAATAACAACATAGGGTCTCATGAGCACAACTAAGTGCTCTGGAATAACCATTTTTCACAATGCTATCCATAGTTTGTTAGGATCCACACAGTAGAATGCCTTTCATAAATCAGTTAAGTACAACTAAACATCTTTCTGATATTTTCTACTTTTAGGCAAAGATCCATCTGATGTCAGTAAAAATAGCACATTCTCTTCTGAATCTGGCTTAAATTTCTGGCAGTTCCCTGTTGACAGACTGCTGTAACTATTTTTAAGTTATCTGCAGCAAAATTTTACTTGCCTGTGATATTAATGATACTATGAGGTGATTTCTGCATTACGTTTCTTTGGAATGAGCACAAATATGGATCGCTTCCAATCAGTTGGTCAGGAGGCTGCCTTCCAAATTTCTTGGCATAGACTAGTGAGCACCTCAAGCACTGCATCAATTTGTTAAAACATTTCAATTTGTAGTCCATCAATTTCTAGAGCCTTGTTTTTGTTTTGTTTTGTTTTACCAATAACATCAGCACAGCTTGGATTTCTTCCTTCAATACCATAGGGTTTTTTGTTTTTAATGTTTTATTGTGAATTATATGGTAGTTTACATGGGGAATACCATAGGTTTTTGACCATATGCTACTTCTTGAAATGTTTGAACATTGACCAATTCTTTTTGGTATAGTGACTCTGTGTATTTCTTTCATCTTCTTTTGATGCTTTCTGTATCATTCAATATTTTGTCCATGTTGTTGTTAACTGCTGTTGAGTCTGTTCTGACTCATAGTGAACTTGTATTGAGTTTTCAGAAAGCGGCTTGTGGGTTTGAACTGCTGACATTAAGGTTAGCAATCCAATGCTTTTCTTACAGTGCCACAGCAAGACTCCTTCAATATTGCAACTCAAGACTTGAATTTTTTACTTCAGTTCTTTTAGCTTGAGTGTTTTCTTCCCTTTTGTTTTTCTAATTTCTGGTTTTTGCACATTTAATTATAATAACGCATTTTGTCTTCCCGGGCTACCCTTTGAAATTTTCTGTTTGCTCTTTTACCTCCTCATTTCTTCCATTTACTTTAGCATCTCTACGCTGGTGAGCAAATTTCAAAATTTCTTCTGACATCCATTTTGATCTCTTCTGTCTTTCTTTTCTCCTTAATGACTTTTTGCTTTCTTCCTTTAAGATCTTCTTGATGCCATCCCACAACTCTTCTGGTCTTTGGCCATTTGTATCTAATGCATCAAATCTGTTCCTCAGATTGTCTCTAAATTCAAGTGGGATATATTAAAGATCATATTTTGACTCTCATTGACTTGTTTTAATTTCCTTCACCTTCAGCCTGGATTTGCATATGAGCAATTGATGCTCAATTCCACAGTTGGTCTCTGGCTTTGTTTTGGCTGATACTATTGGGCTTCTCTATAGTCTCCTCCCACAGATGTAGTCAATTTGATTGTGTATTACATGTGGTGAAGGCCACATATAGAATCACCTAACGGTACTTTACAACAACTCATACTGTTGGAAAAGCATATTGGAATAAATAAGACTATGGTCTTGCAATATTCTATCATGGTATGTCTAGCATTATTTCTATTACCAGGGCCATATTTCCAAACTACTGACCCTTCTTCTTTGTATCCAACTTTGGTATTCCAATCATGAGGAATTATCAGTGAATCTTGGTAACAAAGTTCCACAACAAATAAGCCCTGAATTATGGTGTTGGTGAAGACTATACCATGGAATGACAGAGATAGGAACAAATCTGTCTCGTGAAAAGAATAGCCAGAATGCTACTTATAAGTGAGGATGGCAAGATTTTGTGTCACGTACTTTGGACATGTTATCAGGAGAAGGACACCATGTTTGTTAAAGCAGAGGATCAGTGAAAAAAAAAAACACTCAACGAGATGAATTGATACAGTGGCTGCAACAATGGGTTCAAACATAAGAACAGTTGTTAAGGATGGCACAGGACCATGCAAAGTTTCGTTCTGTTGTACATATTGTTACTATGACGAGCTCAACAAAAGTGACAGAAAAAGGAGAAGACTCAACTTTCTTGGGGCTATAGAAGCTAGAGGTAGACGGCATTTTAAATAGCAAAGGAAGGCTATCAATCAAATGGTGCAAAAATACCACAAAGACTAGGGAGTGAATGGGGTGATCCTGGTGAAAATGGGTTCTAGTAGTGTAGAAAGCAGAAGCCAGGCATTAATGGGTGCACTATCGAGGGAGTGAAGAGCTAGTGGACTTCTCAGCCGGCACTGTTAAACAAAGGGAAGTTGAGAATGGTGAAAGCAGAGATGAGAATTCCGAGCTGAAGGGATAATTTACCCTTGACTTGGAAAAGTAGGCAAGCAGGATAAACTGGATAAACAAAGCTCCTTTTTTCTTCCTAAACAGGAACTAAGGCTGTAAATAAAAGTAGTGTTATAGTCGTGAATTAATTAAGTGCCATCGCGTTCCCCATGCATATATTGTTGTTAAGTGCCATCGAGTCGGTTCCGACCCATAGTGATCTTGTATAGGGTTTCCAAGGTGCAGCTGGCGAGCTTGAATCACCCCCATCTTGCAGTTCGAATGGTTTTGCAGTCTGGCGTATTAATCCACAGCGCCACACCAGGACTTCATGTTGTTGTTGTTAAGTACAGTGGAGTCCGTTCTGATTCATAGTGAGTCTGCACAGGGTTTCCGAGGCTGTACATCTTTACGGGAGCGAAAGCCTCATCTTTCTTCCGCGGAGCAGCTGGTCGTTTCGAACTCCTGATCTTGAGGTTAGCAGCCCGTTTTGTAACCACTACGCTACCAGAGCGTCTTGGAGAGCAGGAAATTGAGGCGATGCATGTATTTGAGAAACTAGTGAAATGTGTAACAGCTGTGGTGTGTTCCATAAGGATGATTATTTTTATGAAGATTTAAAAATTCCTGTAAGTCCTTGTGTAGCTGTGAGATAAAGCACTGGACCGCAAGGTCGGTTTTGAACCACAAGGTCGACGGTTCAAACTCACCAGTTGCTCCTTGGAAACTCTATACAGTGTTGCTATGAGATAGAACCGACTGTACGTGCAATAACAACAAAAATAGCAACATAAGTTTTTTCTGGAGTCCTGGTTTGGCGCTGTAGGATAATCATTGGACTGTTGAGGTCGACGGTTCAATCCCACCAGTGACTCCTTGGAAACCCTACTGCTGTTATTGTTGTTAATAGCGGACCTGTATAAAGTTTCCGAGGAGTAGCTGGTAGGTTTGAACCGGCAACCTTTGGTTCGAAGTTCAAGGTTGATTCTACAGTGCCACATAAGGAATCCAGGAAACCCTATACACATAGGGCCCCTATAAGTCAAAAATGCGTCGATGGCATTTAACAACAACAACAACAAATTCTAAACTGACTCATGTGTTGTCCCCATTTTACAGATGGGAATCTTCAGTTAAGTGATTTGTCTCAAAGTAAAAACAGACGAACTCCAGTGCCGGCTGTTGTAACCCCAGGCTTCCTCGATGAGGTCAGCACTTAGTCAGGGGCCGGCGCTTAGAAGCAGGAGGTTTGCGGTTTCCGTCGCCCTGGCAGCAGAGCAGAGGGCGCAGAACTACACTTCCCAGTGTGCCAGGCGGGGCGGGGCGCCGGCGGGGAGGGCGCAGGCTCCTACCCAGAAGCAAAAGCGGAAACAAAAGAGTCTCGCCGGTGTCCCCGCCCGCACACTCGCACTCTCGCGCTCGGGCGCACACAGTACAGACACAGGCGCCCGGAGCGAGCTAGCGAGCGGCGAGCGGGAGACCCACCGGACTGAGCCAGGCGAGCAGCCAGTGAGCCGAGCCCGCGACGACCCCACGCCCCCGAGCCCACAGTCGCCCCCCGCTGGCCGGTGTCCCCGTCGCCCTCCCTGACCCATGGCGCTGAAGCGGATTCAGAAAGTGAGTGCCGGGGCCGGGCCTGGGGCGGCGGGGTGGGCATCGACCCCTACCCACGTCGACCCGGATGAGGGTTCCGAGAGACCCGCCGGAAGGACACGGGATGGGAGGGTGGCCAGGGGTGGGGGCGAGGGGTCGGCAGCACCCGCGGGGTCAGCGGGTACCGGACAGGTGAGGTGGGAGCAGAGACAGGTCCCTGGAAACCGGAGATGCCTAGAGATCGGGGGCCCGCTGCGCGCTGGCGCCGAAGCTGCTCCAGGATCCCACGGCTGGGGATCCTCCTCGATCTCCAGCCCTTCCCCAGAATCTGTGCCTCACGGTCACGGCTGGATTTTGCCCTACACTGGGCTAGTTTTGGCTCCTGTCATGCTGTTTTCTGCACGCTGTTTCTTAAGCCTGTCGTCTTTTATGTTCTTGCTTCTCCGGGCCCCTGGAGAGGGCTCTGAAGGTGTGGTGGGCCTGCAGCCTTTATCCTCTGAGCTGTTAGATTTGTTCTTTCTTTCTTCTGCTCAGTTGCCCGAATGAACTGCAACAACCCTTTTGGGGGCAGAGAAGTCAGTCTCTTTCTCCTGCCCCTTCTATTTTGGTGCCTCTGCTGCTGCCACTTGAGGTCACATAGCTGTAGTGAAAACATAGTTGCTGATACACAAGATGAGACCTCCTGGCTGTGATTCATGGTGACTGAAGCCAAACAGGTTTTTTTTCCCCTATGATAAAGTTATATGTAAAGTTCGAGACACAACAGAAACTGCCACAAATTAAATTGTTAGATGCTTTGACACATGGCTATAGAATGAGGAAGAAATGTCTGTATTCATTTAACAAGTAATTATCCGTCCCAGTTCTGTGCAAAGAATTGTCTTGTATATTTTTATTGCTACTGTTTCAAGTGTGAACATAGTACTAAACTGGGATTTGGACTTTTTCTTTTTGTTCACTTTTATTTCTTGTTGGGTTGTTTAGTCTGTTCACTGACCCAAGTTTTAGGTGTTGCAGTTACAATCCGTATTAGGAACACTGTGAATGTTTTTTTAAGTGGCGAGTACATTCTGCAAATTAAGCCAACACTGGACAGTGTGTTTTGAAAATGATTTTTTATCAAATTTTCAACCTCAAATCAATACAACAGTAGTATATGTTGGAGTCCCTAGGTGGTGCTAATGGGTTAAGGCACTCAACTGCTAAAGAAAGACTCCTGGAGGTTCTAGTTCACACACAGGTGCCTTGGAAGAAATGGCTGGAGATTTACATCTCAAGGGTCAGCCATTGCAGACCTTATGGAGCACAGTTCTCTGACCTGTGAGGTCATCGTGAACCAAAGTTGTGTCAACAACAGTTGGGTACTACTTAGTTGTTAGGGCAGTGATGGAGATGTGCACACATTGTGTTCTGAGTCAGCACTGGTGACATCCTTAAGCACAGAGGACAGCACCTTTTAGACCTAGCCATTTTTTTGGTTGTTTAGCATGTACAGGTCATTTCACAGCAAAACACCTAACAGTCAGTATTTGTTGAGTAATATATTTTCTGATTTGAAGATGATGTAATTACACATTTCTTGTTTCATTTATGTAATCTTAAATTTGAAACTACAGTCAGCACTTTGGCTATACCTTGTAAACTTATTCATGATGACGTAATGTGGTTCACATTTGGATCGAACATATCTTCCAAGGAAGTTCAGGAACTCAGTATTCTGGTTCCCTAGTTGGAGGAATTTTTCATATGACATTGCATGTACCATAGCATTTAATTACTTTGGAATCACAGTAAGTGGATAGTCAAAGAAATAGGGATGTTATCTGTAAATATCACACCAGGCAACTTTTGTTAGTTGAGTCAATGTATATATTTATAATGCACTGAGCTTATGCTTATGTTTATAATATTGTATAAACTCACCTCAAAAGTACTAAAAAGTTACTTTTAGTAACTGTTAATATTCATTTATACCAGAGTTGTCCTATACAAAGTATCTTTTACATAATATCGATGTCACACCTGTGTCCAGTTGTTGTTTTGAAGGAGACTTTTGGGATCACATAACTTCTCCATGTGTCAGTCTTTCGCTTCTCTTTTTTATCATCAGGCAAGTAAATTTAGACAAATCTGTCTTTTAATCATATGTTCAAGGCATTCCCTCAAACCCAGGGGGAGTTATTTTTATTGCTTCCCTACTCTCCCTTCCTTTCTGTCCACCCACCTGGTATGGCACTGATTTATGAGCCATAAGGTCGGTGGTTCAAACCTACCTGCGGCTCCTCGAAAACCCTATACAGGGTCACTGTGATTCGGTAGTGACTTGATGGTACTTAACAATAACAGCAACCTAATTAGAAGCCGATTCAGGTTTAGGTAAGGGAAGCTGTTTGCCGTGAGGATGATTACAAAGCACTCTTTGAAACCAACATGCTACAAATTATTATTTGAATCTTGCATAGTCCAGCAAATGAAAATGTTTACTGACTTTTTGCCTTTTCCATTTAAGCCTATTAAAGTAACACTGTTGTATAACCTTCAGGTCATTGGATTGCAGTTTCACTTAAAACAGCAAAAGTGGCAGACTTGCGAGCTGTGTAGAGCCTGAGAGAACCCGCCAGTGTGGTGATTCTCAGGAGCGCAGGGGCAGGGCACAACTTCTAGCATGGTGTATCAGAATTTAAACTGTGCCCATGCTGAGAAATGGAGAGATGTTGAATCCCTGAGTTGTACTGGAATAGAAAGAAGATTGAGAGCCACTGATAATCTATTCTCTATTTTTTCAGTGTTCAAACATGGAGCCTGGAATGGAAGAGTGCTTTGTCCAAGACAAAGTGATTGGGCATATTTGAGGTTAAAAAGTTCAGGATTTCACACTTCTTCACTATGAAAAGGTTAAAGATGTTGACATTCAAATTGTATATACAAAGCATAGAAATATCATTGTTTAAAATGTAGTTTGTGGAGGTGGCTGTTGTGTATCACCGAGTTGGGTCTGACTCACAGAGACCTTATAAAACACAGTAGAACTGCCCTGTAAGAGTTCTAGGCCGGAGTCTTCTTGGGCGCAGATCTCCAGGTGTTTTTTCCAGTAGAGTTGCTGGCTGGGTTGGAACTGCCAACTTTTCAGTTGGCATTCCCATTGCTTAACCACTGTGCCATCAGGCCTCTTTGTTTTATGCCAGACTATACTAAATGGTTTAATATTCTAATTTAGACATTCTGTGCCAGTTTTGCATTTCAACTCATAAATTTACACACTCATGCCCTATTTTTAGATACAGTGAAAGATGTTATCACAGTCACCTAAATCACTACAGGGAAGAAGTTTGAAGAAGGTCTGAAGAAGGACACCTAAAACATTTCTGAAGAAAGAGGGCAGTTTTTCAACTATGCATGTATTATTTTCTAGTATTTGTTTCTAAATATTTCTTCTATCAATAATATGTTACATCTTTGAAAAACTTGCACTGGAAATCTTTTTTAAAATGATGAATGTTATATCCTAGTACTGAATATTTTGAAAAGAGACTAACCAAGAAAGCCATTATCATCATTTTCATATATTTTCTTCTAGATTTTTAAAAATTTGATGACGATGCTAAAGTAATGGTCATCAGTCCGTTGTTGTTAAGTACCATCGAGTTGGTTTCTACTCAAAGTGAGTAGTGACCTTGTATAGGGTTTCCAAAGAGAAGCTGGTGAGTTTGAGCTACCGACTTGCGGTTCAAACCGACCTTGCAGTTAGTTCAGTGCTTTATCCTACAATGCCGCACCTGGACTCCAGTCATCAGACTGTTGTTGTTGATGTTAAGTACCGTAGAGTCTGTTCCAACCCATAGCAACCCTGTATAGGGTTTCCAAGGATTGACTGGTGAGTTTGAACCACCGACCTGTGGTTCAAACCTCGCAGTTCAAACTGACCTTGCTTCGTTGTTGTTGGTATTGTTAAATACCTTCAGTCAGTTCCTACCCATAGCAATCCTGTATAGGGTTTCCGAGGAGTGGCTGGTGGGTTTGAACATTGACCTTGTGGTTCAAACTGACCTTATGGTCCAGGGCATTATCCTGCATTGCAACACCAGGAGTCTGTGGAGTGCTTGTTGCTGTTGTTATGTGCCATGGAGTCAGTTCCGAGTCATAGCGACCCTGCACAGGCTTTCTGAGGCTGTAAATCTTTACAGGAGCGTCTCTCTCCCGCGGACCAGCTGGTAGTTTCGAACTACTGACCTTGTGGTTCGTGGAGTGCTTAGTGAGATGTAAAATGATAGGTCTTTTTGTCTCTTTTGAAAAGTAACAAAAAAGTTTTATTTTGCAAATAAGGCAGCATATACTTGGTGTCCTGTTCTGTCTTCCAAAGGGAACATTTGATTTAATGTACGCAGCTGCTAGCAGACATTTGCATCCACCCAAATGTACCTCAGAAGAAAGATCTGGTGATCTGCTGCTTCCAAAAATTCAACTACTCATAACTCTGGAGTGCTGCTCTACTTCACACACAGGGATAACCATCAGTTGGTGTTGACTCAGTGACATCTGTTTTGTTTTGTTGTTTTAACCTAAAGGAGCTCTGGTAGCATAGTGGTTACAAATCGGGCTGCTAACCTCAGGGTCAGCAGTTCGAAACTATTAGCAGTTCCGCGGGAGAAAGATGAGGCGTTCTGCTCCCATAAAGATTTACAGCCTTGGAAACGCTGTGTAGGGTCGCGTTATGAGTAGGAACTGACTCCACGGCACATAACAACAACAAAATATAGGTTAAAAATACTTGGTAACATAAATTAAAATACAACTTTCTAATTATTTCCAATTAGTGAATCTTTTGATTTGTATGATCCAACTGTAACTATTTATGTCAGTTTAGAAAACCTTAGGGTACTTAAAATAGCTATAACCCTTGTGGATGGAACATCAAATGGAAGAAGAAGGTTTAGTTTCTATTCCTGGTTCTTTGACTTAAATTAGCTTCGCTTTCCTCATCCATACAGTGACGTTTACGCTAGAGCTAGTGTATATATGGAGTC